CAAACTCTGCACAAGTTCAGATGGATGACTGAAAGGGGACTTCCAGAAATTCTGAAAGTTCTTCCAGAAGGAAAACTTGTATCTTGCTAACACAAAAGACGTCAGTTTCTGAAGGCAGTGTATGTCTCTAATAGTCAGAAAACTAAAGATAGATGAACCTGATGATTGACGTTTTATTTTTTGACATTATTTTGAGAACAGTAAATAATTATAAGCTAAGTTAAACTGTTTCTAGCTCATTTCAGAGAAGGCAAACAGAAGCACATAGAGAATATATGACCCGGCAAAAGACAGACTGGCTATCACTGTCAAAGCTGCAGGAAGAACACAGGGGATCGTCAGTCACAGCTCTGTGTTGAGACCATTAAACCACACCTCTTTTCAACAAACGTCCTTTTATTTGTTGCCAGCAAACATCTCAAATACAATTTTACAGGAGTTATTAATTGCGTGCAGGCCTTGCCTTTAACTAGCAATAAGAGCAGATCTCACACCAAGAATTTTCTGAAAGTGTTGCTCATTCATGTCCCCTAACCTCTTCAAGCCGACACAAAAAAGGAGCCAAGTGCATCAGTTTAGAGCCATTCTTCACTGCTCTGTAGTCAGTAGAAATCCAGTGGAGACACAGTTGTACAGAAAAGGGTAGGAGTTTTTGGTTGTTTTGTTTTTCCCCCCAGGAAAAAAATGGATACAATCAAAAGTAAACTTTTCACAGTCTGATCACAACGGTGGGAGGCTTGCTAGCTCCAAAAGCAGTTTCCAGTGAAGAGCAAACCTTCACATGTACTGTGTCATCTCCCATCCATAGAATACAGGCCATCAATCTTTCAAGTTCATACGGTATTCAAGCCACTAGAAAAATGTGTTTGTACATGTCTACATGTACCTGCGAGTGCCTGCATGTGCACTAACAATTTTCTAATTCATAGAAACTAATTCTTGATAATTAAATATTCAGCGTTACTCATTCCATATATGGCTCACCAGAAATTTGTATGCATCTAGAGCAGAACTCTAGAGAGTTTGTTTTCCACTTTATTGAGCCAGATCCAGCCTTTGCAGCATAGCGACCTGCAAGATCAGGAAGGGAGAGGTATGGCTATAAAATGAGAGTAAATAATTAGTGGTGCAATGTAGCCATAAAACCACTGAGCAAATACCCACTTCGTCTCCAGTCCATGGAGTTGCAGAGCTTGCTGGCAGCCAGGGAGGGCATGCCACCGAGCAGCTCAACTGTGTCTTACCAAGCAGCTCAACTGTGTCCTATCAGAGGCCACATGGGAGTCTAGAATTCCTGCTGTCAGCTTATCAGAAACAGTCATAAGACAAAGAGAAGGTTTTGCTCTTTTTCAAACAACTCAGTAACAGAGATCAGAAAGTAGTGGATTTGTTTCTGGTAGAGGTGGCAGTATATCCTGCACTCACTTTGCTACTGCTAAGAAAAAGAAAACATATGAATGCAAAGCAATTGCATTTTAAACTCAGGTTATAAGCCCTGTATCCTGCTCTTCATGTCCCGCGTTTCATGCTGTGGAAAAGCTGCAGCGTGCCAGAAAGGAGCTCTTTTTCAGTGTACAGAAATAAAACTGAGAAAACCAAAAACCTACATTATGTACCGCATTTAAATCTTTCTTATGGTAAGCAACAGCCCTGGCCAACCAGCCACAAACGAAAAGACACCTTAATGGTCCAGGAAGGTCAGAGTTCTTTGAGTTAGGTATTGAGCAATGGAGGTGCAGGCTGCAGATGGGAGGTTTGGGTGTGAACACATGCCAAGTGCATAACAAAACTCGATTGAAGGAAGCCAATTTTAAAATTTCCATTTGAATTAGTCGCACATAGATCGCAGGAATTCCACACATACCCTGTTTGAGAAACCAGAATTTTCAAGGATCTTCGATCTGTAAATGACCGGCACAAAAAAGGACCTTCTTTGATTTGCTTTGCTTTCTCAAGACAAAAGTCATCATCAGGCACACCCAAATATTTACCCTGGAAAATATGTGGGAGCAAATAATTCTTGATGCGATTCGATTGAGTTATGCAGGGCATTTTGTCTGTGTTCACTGAATCAATGCTTTTTTCAAGATTTGTGTCCAGTTGATTCAAAATTAAGAACTGAATGTTTTGCTAAAAGCAATCATGCAGATTCTCAATATTTCAATTTCTTCACACTTTTCTCCCTCTAATCTTTTATGTACTTTGTTTTGGCATTCTTTTCTTACTTACTCATGAAGAAAGAAACAAGAGCTCTAGTCTGTAAAACTGACAGAAGTTCAAGCAATAAGTCAAGTTATAAAGAAAACAACAACAGAGATGCTGGGATGGGAGCATCTCTTGCAAAGAAATCAGTTCAGCCTGAAAAATCTGAGTGCTAATGGGTGGACAGACTTTACTTTGTTTTCAAGTCTTGAATTCTCCCCATTCCTGTAAAATATCCCAATTAATAGTCCACCATTTAGGAGGAAAACACAAGGTTGATGTAGTATCTTAAAGCAAATGATTCTTGCTTGGCTGCGGGGCAGTGTTCAAGCAATACATACCACAAGATTTAACATAACAGCAGCTACCCAAAAGAAATCCACTCTCTGTAATGCATTCCACTGAAGGCTAAATAGCCTTTCAGTGAACCTACTGGCTCACTCGTTCCTTGAATGGGATCTTTAAAGAACAAAAGAAGATCTGATAGACATTTCCCTCATTGTAAGGCTTCCCAAATGCATACTGCATCCTTGCTTAGCACGAATTTTTAAGTATGAAGGCTAAGTATCAGCTTGCCTTACTAATACCTGTAGCTGTAGGCCACACAGCTACATAATAATGACTTGTTTGACTGATTAAGGTGTTTTCACCTAGTTTTGTTTAGATGTTTACTCAAATAAGAAAAGCAAATATCTGGTTCTTACAACATCAGCCCATTTCACCTGTAAAACTATAGAGGAAAATAATACAAGTGACTTTGTTAGATGTGAAATTTACTGAACAGGCTCTGTTCTGTAGCCCTACCAAAGCAGCCCCTTGCATTCCTTACAACTGTTGATAAGAATATTGACTTCTTGCATGTGGACTATTACTCACATAGTGCTTTTAATATATAAAACACTATAGTTATATAAAATATAGTAGTTAGCATATTAAAAATATGTTCCATCTCTTACTAATGACACATAATGGAAAAATAGATTTTATGATTTATTCTTCATTCCTATATTTCTTTGCTTAGGTCCCAGTTCTACTCAACCTTTACTGCAGGCTTCTTGTGTCCACACATTGTTATCACCAGAGTATCTGTAGTATATTAAGCTAGGCACGTACGTAAATCATTCTAGAATGAAAGACACTTATTAATCACAAAGAATGGCATTCTCTTTTCTACATTATTTCTTTGAAATTACTCCTAAACATTACTCCTGCTTAGGGGTATAAATGAGATCTATGTGGGAAATAGGATTTTGCTGTCTCTTTACACACAGGTGAATTTTGCCCAGTGAGTGTGCATGTTGACTTTCCACTGTAGAATTTCTGATCCCCCCGATTCTTCATTACTATCTGCCAAAAGCTCCGTTGTTAGTTTGGGTTTTTGTATACATGAAGTCAGATTTATGACCTTTGTGGTCAAAATATTCCACATTTGATCCTTTTTCTGATCACTTTTTACTCCTACCCCAGCACTGATCACGACTACTAAAAAGGCTTAAATGCATTACTGACTACTTTATTGATTGCTCTTGTAACTAAATGGCTGTTTGTTAACAGAGTAATTCTTGGTTTTTAGAGCACTGTGGAACGAATGTGTTCCTGAGGGCTTCACTATGTAGATGATGTCTGCACAAATATAAGAAGCTCTAAGTTTCTCAAGTGCTTATTTCTGAGAACTTCCAGTTCTAAAGGACTACTGTTTGCAACAGTTTTCTTCGGGAAAATTGGAGCGTTTAAGGACTTTGAAATTAGGGACAAATTTTACAGGACACAGCCTGTTTTGAGAAAAACATTCATTTGTGCCTTTGTTATGTAACTATTTGTCCCAAAGCAAGAAGGTACAACTGCTTTTGAATTTGAATGCTATTTTGCCTGTCATAACTTTAAAAATATTTCCCTTAGGCTGTACACTTAGGCTTACACACCTTTTCTGTTTTCACTTTATGATTTTTATGATTGCACTCTTTTTATGATTGCACATGAAACCTCATAAGTAAAAAGTTTGATTTGAATTTCAGTCTTTTCAATTCGTACTTCTTACCTGTCATAAGCACATAACAAAAACATGTAATTTTGCACCAAGATATAATCCTACAACAATATATTTTCTTTTCAGAAGTCAAGCATTCAGATATGGCAGAATAAAACAAACCGCTGTAAATGGCTTAAGTAAAAACCATTAGGATTATCCAACGCATGTATTTTTTATGAAATTCCAGAGGATCCACAAGCCCACAGTTCTCTATTTCCGACTATTCATAGAAGACGTGGCTGATCAGTAGCAGTTTACCTAGGTTTTTTATTAGAAGCCTCTACTGTAAAGACAGTAGCCTCTCTTGATGTCCTCTGCAAGTGACTTGTAAGGAGAAAAGGTGGTAACGGGCACAATAGACATTAAAGTGAGTTTCAGAATAGCTACAGCAGATTCCTGTGATGATATCTCTAAATAATTGTTCATCAAAGGTGGAATTTCTCTGACTTGAATCTGGTCTGACCATGTCTTGCCAGAACTTTTGCTGAGGGGGCCCTTTGGAGAGGTAATAAGTGTAGTTCTGCTGCTCATGAATGGAGTCCAAAGTAACCTGAAGAGATCACACTTTCAGTGTAAACATAAGAGATTAAATTCGAATGTAAAATCACCTTCATGTTTTCACAATCTTGATCTTCTCAGTTCCATGCAATCCAGACATCCCAGACAGACGGATACATGAGCAGGTGCCTCCAGCACCAAAACACTTCCAATTGCAGCCATTAACATGCCAATGGCTCTTTCTACTTCTGCCTCTAATAAAACCCTCTTACCAGCTCTCCAAAAACATCTTTGAAAACCAGCAAAGCTGCAGTCCTCCCCAGCTCCCATTTCAAGCCAGTTCTCTCCTCTCTGAAGACCTTATCCTCTCTTCTATCTTTCTTGCATACTGCAAAAGGAGACAATATGGGAATAAGAAACTCTTTGGCAATCTATATAGACCCTGCAACTCATTCTTTTGCTGTATGTGTAATCCAGGAGAGGTAAGATCTCATTTCTGGATAGTTTTCAGTAACTTTTTCTTGTTTTGGTAACTGTTTTATTTATGTTTGAACGTTACTATAGATACTGGAATTCAGCCTCATGAAGTTATATAAGCAGGCCTTGCAGAGGCGAGGGCAAGGATGTCAGGACAGACAGTCACATCCTCCTCTATGGACCACATGCAGGAGAGCTCAGTGTGGGAGTATTCAGAGGGAAAGGCACCCTCCATCCAGATTTGTGAGTCTTTGTGGGTTCCTTCAGACCGTTGGGACTAAACATGTCTGACCCACGTGGGAATGATTGCATGAAATTAGTCAGATACTCATCAAAAATTTTTCAAAGGATTGTAGAAGAATTTGTTCAGATGTCAGGAAATGGCAACATGTACAAGCAGCATTTCATGGTTTGGGGAAAGTTGGTGGCACATATCAGAGAGCAGAAACTGAAACAGAAACAGGTGATCGAAAAGACTTAGGCACTAATGTCACATTGGCTGACATTAGTGATTAGTGATTTTAGTCCTTGAGTATGGCTCCTTTCTGAAAATACAAATTAATTTTCTTTTCTTTTCTTTTCTTTTTTTTCCTTTTTTACCCAAGACCGTGGCATGCAGAGAAACCAACCCAGCTCAGAAGAACCTGGAGCAGAGTGCTGGTGTGGTAATACACTCTGACCCACCTCACCCCAGAGCAGAGCTGGGCAGCATCTGTGACAGTGGTCTGCTGGGGCTGCCTCCGTGCCTGAGACCTGAGGTGCAAAAGTCACCAACATGCTCAGAGCAAACTCCAGGCAAAATTACCTAATCACGGTGGTATGCTTTGTGGCCTCAGGCATTTTTCTATTACTCATGAATATTTCTCTATCACATGGCATGGAAAAATAAGTTTCTAGACCAACTTGTCAACACACTGCCACCATCATGTTCATAATTCTGGAAATGACTTAGAAAAAGTTCATTAGCCTCAAAACCTAACAATTCTCTACTGTTCCAGCAAATATAAATGGATTCAAAATAGACACCTTGATGTAGGAAGAGGAAAGAGGACTCACCTGTTTTATGTGCTGTTTCAAGAAAGGCATTTTCAATTCTTGACACACTGAAACATACAAGTCCATATTTCAAAACCAAGACACACATTTGAAAGTTCCACAGAGAATTTTCTGGTTTAGAACTACAGTTTTCACCCTCACTTGCTTACACTGCCTTAGTTTTCCATGAGTTAAACAGTGATGAGCTTCCCCATCTCACAAAAGTGCAGCAAGAAGGAACTCCCTTACAGAGTATGCAATACTTTTCACTGAAGTTTGAAGAAAATGACCAATTAGAAATTATCTGCATCACAGGTATATAACGTGCCCGCCTGCTTTTTATTTATATCAGTGTCAGCTGTAATCTCCTGTTTTTTGACCACTACTACAAATGCTGCTTTTACAAGTAGTACAGATGCTGCTCCTTCTTCAGTGATGAAAGGAGAGTGCTCAGCAAGGCAGAGACATAGGGCACAGTCACTTAGGGCCGGAAGTGAATAAGAACTAATTAACATAACACAGCAATATAGGTGGACAGATTTTGTGAACAGAAGACCTGCATCACCTTTCCTGTTTTCTTCACCCACACCTGCTACTCTAGTTTTATGCCTCAGAGCCCTTTGCATACCAACTATATCGACATTAGAGCTTTTAACATGTAGATTCATATATTTATGTATTCTTCATACATACAGTGATCCAAATATTTGCAAGCTATGTGTGCAGGACTGTAATTGAAATAGAGTCTCTGAAGCTATTTAGTTCATCTGAAGTAAGTATACTGTTACTAATGCTTCGGTTAGTAGTTTTAACAAATCATGTAAATCAGGTCAGAAATGGGACCATTGAATGTGCATGTTAAAAACACAGGGTTTATGTAAATATAATGAGGGATGTTAAATGATCCAGCACTGATAAGGCAAGGAGGTGGCCATGACTGTAGTGCTTGCAGTGAGCAGATAAACACACAGACGTTCAATTTCTATTTCCTCCTTCAGTCGCCAGCAACAAAAGTGAAAAAAACCAAAAAGGCCAGTTTGCCCTATCTGAAAAATGCCAACAGTCTGAGAAAACAGTATCCTGGATGTACTGACTCCACCATGCTTTGACAATCTTTCAAAAGTGTCTCAAGATACATACTGAAATGTCGAAGACTTAAAAAGACTTTGGTCATTCTGGAAAATGTAATACTGACATTAACAGTTGTATGTAGATAGGGAGGCCCAAGAAGTAACAGAAGTGGTAAGTCTTCCCTTAGAGCTCAGATTGGGAAAGGTTTACTTGCTAGTAATCCTGTTAGCTTTCAAGATTCCATTGAAAAACACTGAGTGACATTAAAATATTCATTTTATCTGATTAATGAAAAATGATGAAGGTGTTTGGCAAAACACACTGTACAAATGCTTTTCCTATTGTATTGAAAAAACTATGAGCACAACTGGAAGATTTGCACATATTGTGAAATAGTTTCTTTGCTTTCACGTTATTTTAGCAACACTTGGTATTTCCCAACAAAATCCTGAACAACAAAATGAACTGCAGGCAGGATACCAATATAGTACCCCATGCCTTTAGATATTCTGAATGCTGCATGCTCTGCTATCCCAGTACCTGTTCTTTAACAATCTCATAGATTGTGTTTGAATTCTAGCAGCTGCCAGAGTATTTCAAGGAAATGAAGGCCACTTTAATCAATCAGTTGTCTCTAATATGTTTCCTTGCTCAGAAATGCCAATGTGACCTTACCATTTGCTGAATCTGTAAGTAATTATTTGGGTTACTTATTAAGGTAACACACCCTAGCTAGGATGAAAAACCAGACCTACAAGATAATCCTCATCTCAAGTTTCTGCTGGCTGTATTGTTTCAAAGTATTTGCCTGTATTATAATAGTGAAATTTCATCTGTGTTTTGTGCTGCAGTGGGAAGTACGAGGTACTGGAGGTCAAGGCACTCACCATCTAACAGGAGTATTCTTTCATTAATAAACAAGCTTAGAATTTTGTTCTGCATATAGAAAAATTCCTCACTGCAGAAAATGTATTGCTGAGTAAATAATTAAAATCTTCTGTCAAATCACCTTTCATTAAAATAGGTAGACTGATAATGATATTACTAGGTTCCTGTGTAGAAGACAGAGGATTACGTTTCATGTAAGGGGAGCGTATTTCACTCCACAGCCCTTATCACCCCAAATATCAATCTTTTTGTTTATACACTGATATTCTAAACAGCATTGCTTACAAAGATATTTTGGAAATACCATGAAAATAACAATGATGAAAATAGTAGATAGGTTTATATGAAAAAAATATATTTTTTGAAAGAAATTGCAGCTCTGTTTTCCCTACATACTTCTTTTGGTTTTCATACTTAGGATATGCAGTAAGGAAAAAAAATGATAAAAAATTGATGGTACTGCTGGTAAAAACAGAGAACAATATTTGATCTCCATTTATAACCAATAGACACCACTCTTGCTGGAGTATATATTTTGCATGTTTGGAGTACACTATGTGGAAGATAGTAGCCACTGGCTATTCCTTTACTTTGTTCTTAATGTTTCATAATGGTAATTTTAACCTACAAGTTATTTTCATTCAACCTTACCAAGTACAACATTTTAAACATGTCCATCTGCCATGGACAGCCAATGGTTCTTCTCTTCCCCTAGAAATGGTACAGTGTAGAATCAGAGCATCAGGCTGAAAGGGACCTCAGAAGGTTGTTTAGCCCAATGTCCCAACAGAGCAGGCTCAGCTCTGAATTCAGAAAAGCAGCTAGACAATTACAGGGGTTAATCCAGTCCAACCTGGACAGATTCTGCAAAGTTTTATCAAACAGCAAGGGAATGAATTATGCCAACTTCAGAACATGTCTTCGGACAAAAGAATTAAACTCTATGCTTTGTCAGGTAAATCACTTCAGAGCCTCACAAATCAACAAAGAACTGCAGTAAATTTTCAGTAAACATTCCAGAGTAAAAAAGAGACATTTTTGAGTCCTATATTAACTTTTCAAATTCTGCTAGCATATATTTTTCACACAACACCAGCTTTTCCAAAAAGAAAAAGAAAACAAAACAAAAGAACAACATTGTTTCCCAAAATGGCATCCTGTCAGAGGCTGTTTTTGAATATTGGGCATTCTGAGTCATTCGTGACTGTGGAAATTCCAGTAAGTCGAAGGAGTTATGTCAGCCCTGAATTTGAGTCTGAATTTCTGACTGTATGTCCTAAACTGAACAAGCAAGCAAACTTCCCAAATGAGAAAGGAGGGAGAAAACAGCAAAAATGGACATAAGCTTCTTCCTTTTTTTTTTTTTTTTTTTTTTTTTTGAGGTCGTTTCTCAGTCATTCAAATTAGACCCAATTTCTCCATTCAGGCAGAAGTACACCTGAAATCTGTCTCTGGATACGAGGCTTACAAAGGTCAATCTGTGTCATATAAAAGTTAAACAAAGCTGAAGCTGTACATAATTAAAAAAAAAAAAAAAGACAAAGTAGACAAAGAAATGTTTTAATCAAATCAAAATAACTAACAAAACATCTTAAGGCTTATCTGTTTCCCCATCAATCAAGCAGATAGATAATAACTGGTGACTAGATATAGCACTCTTAACTATAGACTACTGTGATTAGATACCCTTAACATTCTCTCCGCAGAATCACAGAATCACAGAATGGCCAGGGTTGGAAGGGACCCCAAGGATCATGAATCTCCAACTCCCCTGCCACATGCAGGGCCACCAACCTCCACATTTATTACCAGACCAGGCTGCCCAGGTCCCCATCCAACCTGGCCTTGAACACTTCTAGGGATGGGGCATCCACAGCCTCTCTGGGCAGCCTGTTCCAGCACCTCATCACTGAAGACCCATGATACATGTTTCTGCTGGGATGAATCACAGAACCACAGGATGGCTTGGGTTAGAAGAAACCTTTAATGATCACCTTGTTCAGCTCCCCTGCCATGGGCTGGGACATCATTTACAAGATGAGGTGACACTGATCTGGCACTGCATTCTGAGTTGTCTGACTCAAAGTCAAAATAACTTTTACATCATACGGACAGACACAAATTGATATATCTAAATTTCATTCATCAACAATTCAATTTTCTGTCTAACAAAAGTGCAACAAGACTTTCTGACAGTAGCAAAGAGGAGTGTTACTTCTCTGGACTTCCCATTGATTCCAGGCTTTTGCAGGGTATTATGGAACACAAAATAGGTCTTCTGTACAGTCAAGGTCAGCAGACTCATTTCCATTATATATACAATGAATTACACTGAACAGAGTAACTCACTTATATACATATTTTTATCGCTTTCTGATGGGAAAGAATAATGGGCAGAAATTGACATGCAACAGGATTTCTATAACGAAAGTACTGACTGCGTATATATTTGTATGAGCAAATCACTTAGCCTTTTTTGTTTTCTGTTTTACACAGACTATGTTTAGTGGGGGGGGAAACAAAACAAAAAGAAAAAAAACAAAAAACAGCCCCAGTCCCAGTCTTCAACACAAATAAAGTACAGATGTAAAGCTGACGACCAGTAAAAAGACACAGACTGTGATCTTAATTACACCAATATCAATATCTATACCTCCTCTGAGCACACATCACAGCAAATTTGATGGGAAGGGATTCTTCATACCCAAGATTATTGACAAAAACATGTCTGCTGTTACTGCTATACTTGTTGCTATTCTTTCTGCTATGGAAATCTCAAGTCTCACTCAGCTACATCTTAGACATAATACTTAATACAACAATCTTTCTGCACATCAAATAATGAAATTCAACCTCAGCAGCCTTTGGTAAAAGTTACAACTGCAACAAATACTTGCTTGTTCTCAAAAATATCAACATATATAAAGAAATTAAATCCCCCTTCTCCCTCTATCCCCAAAGCCTCTCTCTGTAATTTTGATTGCTGTCATGGACTTGAGGGCTGACCCTTGGAGGGCTGTTTTTTTATTAAGGGCAGTCATGTGTGACTGGATGGTTTTAACTAGAAAGAGCAGCCATCCATCCCTTCCTTGTGTGAGGCTGTGAGCACAAAAGAGCCTTGTGTTATTGCAGCTGAAATTTGTTTCTGCACAAAATGAGAATTCATTTTAGCGGTGAGCAATGATGGTAGTTGTCTTAGTCCTGGGGCAACAAGAAGGGGAGGCAGGGAGGAGGAATCTCAGCTGGTCTGGGCACCTGGAGGAGGGAGGCCTCCACCCAATGCCCATCCATCTTATCACCAGCTCTGACCAAACTCCTTGGGTGATGTCCTCCCTCCTACACCTGCATGGCAGACCCACAGAGTCTGACTGCACGCCACAGTCCTACCTTTCCCCTAAGCAAACAGTAAAGTACCAATTATGCAAATGCATAGGATGACTCACATGTTACTCACCTGTCCAAGAAGCTACAAGATGAGGGGGTCACCATTTGAATATGAGAAGCTTCAATAAATGTTTAGATGTTATGCTCTGGGACATGTTTAGTGGGGAAATTTTGGTAGTAGATGAACAGCTGGACTAGATCATCTTGGCGGTCTTCTCCAACCTTGGTGATTCTATGATTCATCCACACAGTGAAAGTGTGCCTTGTGTTGTACTGTGAAGTTTTTAGTATCCAGAAAAGCCTTTCATGAGGACCTGCAGATTGATAGTACCCACACAGCTCCAGAACTGCACGAGCATCGTCTGTCAGGAGACAGGGCTGAGTCACACAGCTCACAGCAGGCTATGTCTATACTGCAAGCACAACTGATGTGATGGGAATACAGTGCAAACATCACTGGGCTAGCTTTAAATTAGTCAGCTCGGGCACTGATAGTAGTCTAGCCATGGAGCTCAGGCCAGCCTAACCCCTCAGCTATTTACCCAGCTTTTGGGGCATGTTTTCCAATCCACCTGCTGCAGCTGGATTGCTTACAGCTCCCAAGCCAGCTTGTTTAAACCCAGTTTGGGTACGTCTGTGACTGCAGTGTAGGCATATCTAAGCTTCTAAATCATTTAAACTCCTCCTGTTCTAATTTCCACATTTCTGAAAACTTGGAATTACAACACTGGGGTATACTGTTACTGTGCTGCTGAGATTAAACATTTGCTGTAGAAGAAGTATCAGCATACCGTTTTAAGTGTGATCTAGGGTTTTCCCAAGAAGTGTACCATGTTTAAGAAAAATAATGAATATTGCATAATGAATATGCAGTGACCTCTCTCATTCATTCCAGAGCTAGTTTAAAGAGTACCAGATGTACAAGGTGAATATCCAACACCTCAGATACATACGCTGACTGCAGTGGACATTCTCCTTGTATAATGCCACTCACTGACTAGACAGTAATTTTGTAATATGGATCAACTTAGAATAAATGCCAGTGTAATACTTTTGTTGCTTGGGACCAGGAAACTGCTCAAAGTTCTTCCCATAACCTGTAGATGAATTAAGGATTGGAAAAATGCTCAAAATTCTTAGTTTCACATTTTTAAAATGATTTTACAGAAGCACAATAAAACGCTTTACCTTTAAAAGCCATAAATTTGTGTACAATTTAAGTCACATTCATCGCAAAGGTAAGTTAGTGGATGCAAGGGTTCATTTCAACACGGCCAGATTTGATCCTCCAGTAAATATCAGGTCATCTTATACCTTTTAATCTAACGTTTTTAATAGTTTCTTTCTGACAAGGAGGCACACATTCCATTCCACTCAGTCCACGTACCTGTCTGACCATATCAGAAATCTGTATGTGCCATGTTCTCCCTGGCACTTCTGAGTGTGAATTGTACATTTCATAACAAGGGCTCATGCCATGTGCTACAAACCAAGGGAGAACAGAGCAGCATTCCTCTTTTCTGTCATCCCAAGGTCTTGCATGCCACTGCTCTTCAATCTGTTTTAAGAGAAGTCACTCAGCACATCAACATTTGAACTGCTGCTGGGACAACGGGCAGAGCAGAGATGGAGGAGGTGTGGTACTGGAAGACGTTAAGGGCTGCCATCAGCCAGTCCTTTGATCCAGAAACACTTCCAGACCTGGTTAAAACTGCTGGGTCTGTGAACCAGATGGTGGGGATTCTTCACATCCCAAGCTTCCCCCTCCCAGCTTCTCGATTCCCACTGAAAGCAATGAGATTATGTTCACTTCAGAATTTGGACAGCCTTTCCAATTTTTGGTTAAGTGTGAAAAGCAAGCAAAGGAAGACAACTGAGTGTGGACAAGTGTACAATCCTGCTTTGCACCACAAAAGCATCATTAACACCCTATTTCTCCTCGTTTGCTAACATTAATTCTAAGTGACTTCACAGAACACAGTAAAATTACACTGGATTAAACGTGGTTCATCTGAGGCCACCACAAGGTAGTAGTTAACAGGAAACACCAGTGACTTTACCAGGAGCAGCATGCTCACCACTGCCAAATATTTTGTCCTGTATCACAGTTCGACATCAAAACCACTCTGCCCCAACTTAAGAGTTGTAGCTAGTAGTGACATCTCTGCTAGTTCTCTAAATAAAACAATGCCAAATTGGGATTTGTGTTATATTGAGTGCATTTACTGCTACAGCTCATTTTCACAGCCATAACAAAATGCTTTGAGCCTGCACGTCTGTTCTAACACAACAATTTTGTTTATTTTATAGGCTTACAATAAAAAAAATCACACTTTATGAGCTACATGATAATATTTCAACAATACTTTGTTGTGACATGATGCAGTGTAATTATCCAGGAGATACTACAATGTATTGTTATGTCAGTGAGTCATACCCTTCAGGGCTTCAGATCAGTGCCTTGGTTTGCTTTTTAATGCCGTTCAGAGTAGCAAGCGAAGTCAAGGGACACATTGAGACATCCTAGAAATAAAGATGTAGACTGAACACGTGCTCTTACAGCACTATTGACTCAGTTAGCAATAATCAAGGAAAGTAGAAATAACAACAACCCAAACGTGCACAGATAGCCATGTTATGCTGGTGCCCTACTCAGGGCGTTAAGCACATAGACGGGTCTCAAGGAGCACCTACCAAGCGTGGCGGTCGCCCATTGCTTGATGCGTTAGGTGTCATTTATCAACGAAGAGAGGATGGGATTTTACATGGCACAATGCCTACATAACAATTTCATGCACAATACAGTGTGTTTGCGGCAGAACTTTCACCAGAGCGGAGCAGCAAGCCGAGATTACTTTTCTAAAATAGTTTTCCAAGGGAAGTCCACAGGTGGCTACGGAGACAAGCGGCCGCCGTTTCCTATCGGTACGGGCAGAAGCGCGCCCCGAGCGGCAAGCGCCGTGCTGGGACGGGTCTCGCTTCCACAAGTCCATCCGCGTACCGGAGCCCGCAGGTCGCTTCCAGCTGCCAGGCGAACCGCAGCGGGGCCGAGCCGGGTGCTCTCCCGCAGGACACCGAACTCGGGGACGGTGCCGCCCGCGGGGCTGAGGCGGCACGGCCGGGCGCGACGGGCAGACTGCAGCCGTACAAAACACCCCGGCACGGGCCTCAAGCAGCCGAGCCGGGCGAACCGCCAAGCCGGACGGAGGCGGGCCCACACCTCTGCCCCCCGCCCGGCCGCCGGTCCTCGCCTCGGCCCGGCCCTCCCCTCCCGTCGCGCCGAGGTGCGGCGCGGGCAAGCTCCACACCGCCCAGCTGCCTGTCCCAGCCCCCGCCGGCGTAGGCAGCTCGGCGGCAGCGCCCCAGAGCGAGCACCTCCCTTCCTGCCCCCCGGGCGCTGGGTGTTGCTGTTGTTTTGCCGCCGCAGGTCGGCCGGGGTGGGCGCGGAGAGAGGGAACGGGGTGCGCTGCGAGCCGGGTGCCAGGCGCACGCCTCTGCCTGACAGCCGGGCGGGGAACAGCAGCTGGCCGGGCAGGTTTGTCAGCGGGCGTCGGCCCCGCTCCCCTCCACTCCCCGGGCTGCTGGGGATAATTAGTGTCTGCGCGGGGCCGTCTGCCCCCGGGAGGCAGGGCGGGCGGCGCGCAGTCAGTGCGTGCCCGGCTGTTTTGCTCGCTGACTCGCCTCTGCCGAGCCTCCACCCCGCGGGCGGGAGCCGCCCTCCCGCGCTCCCCTCCGTGACCCTCCCAGCGCTAACCCCGCCGGCCCAGGGAGCCTGGCAGGGCGAGAGGCGCCGCGTCATGTGACAGCGCGGCCCGGTGCCAGCAGCCCGGGGGGGAGGCGGGCGGAGGGCGGGAGGCAGGGCGGCGGCGGGCGGCTCCTCCTCGCACGCAGACCCGGAGCCACCGCGGAGGCGCCTCAGCCGCGGGACACGCCGGCACGGAGCCTCCGCAGCGCCCCCGGCCCCCGCCGCCCCGCGCCATCCCGGCCCTGCGGGAGCACCGCGTAAGTGCGAGGACCGGGACGGGAGGGAGCTGCGGCGGCGGGATAGGCTGCGGGAGGGGAAAACTTTGCCGGCTCCGCGGTGCCCGGGGCGGGAGCCGGGAGAACGGAGCCGGGCGGAGCGCGGGGCCGGATTCGCTTGCCCCCCGCGGCTCCGGCGGCGTCTCCCGCGTGGCGGCGTGGCCGCGGCTCCGCGCACCTGCGCGGCCGCCGGGGGCGCCTGGGGACTCTGGACCCTTCCTCGGGGGTCCGGCCCGGCCCCTCGCGGCTCCCCCGGGGGTTCGGCCGCGGGAAGGGGGAACGGTGTCAGCGGATCCCAACGTGGCACGGCGTCGGGCGGCGCTGGGGTGAAAAGAACGGCGGGTTCTGCGTGTCCATCGGAGGGCGAGTGCTGCCCGGCGGCGGGGAACGCCGCTGCAGGAGCTCGCCGTTGGAAAGTGCTTAACCGGGGACGATACGGGCTCTCGGAAATAGGTTTTCCCGCATATCGTCACCGAGCGTAGCACCACGTTGCAGCGAGGTCGGTGAAGTTCAACCACGCAGCGTCCAGGGAAGCGCCGCGGTTAAACATGGAATTAGAAATAACGACCGTAGTTCGGCTCCCTTTTCTGGACGTCGCTTTGTAAAGCCGAAAAGGGAGCGGGATATTTGCTTTGGAGCGGAGTCAGCGGCTGCCTGGGGACGCCAGGCGCGGGTACTGAGGCGGGCGCCCGAGGGCTGCGTGGGGCGCGCAGCGGAGCCGGGCTGCCTCGTGCTCGTGCCGCTGCCCGGCAGACGCGGTCAGGTACCTGCATTGTCCGCTCGCTGCGTTCGCTTCCCGGCCCCTGAAAGAGCAGGAAGTGGAGCTGAGCTCTGAGGGCTGTATTGTTACTAGAAGCTCCGTTTGGGTGGCGGGAGGAGAGCTTTGAAGACTTTATTTAAGCTAATAATATCCGTGAATGCTCGTTACCTGCATCCAAGACAAAGGATTACACGGCTCCACGGTAATGACTTTTTCCACTGAGTGCTTTTAAGACGCGTGTTCTTGGTAATTGCATGAGGAACTCTGTGTGAGAGGAGCTCCATCTGGATCTGATAATCCTGCCTGACCCTGGAGAGTTACTTCAGACCAACCTTCGTATCTTTAAGAACTTTTTGTCTAATATAAAAATACAAAAACCTGAGTATGCTGACATGAGTGACCGCTTCTGTTTTTGTCCAAGCAAACAAATGCTTTTTTTTTTTTTTTTTTTTCCTTCCCAGAATGCGCTGTGCAGACTGGGAGGGAGACTGGTGTCAAGGGCAGGGAGAAAAGATACTAAATGTGTTGCTTCCTTCCACGAGGAACCGGACAGAACTTCCTCAAAGTAGCAGAGCCCTGAGGGAGCCCTGAGGTGCTCTGGGGATGTGACCTGTGCAACCAGTGCCTGCATTGCCAACAGCAAAAGCCTTCAGACAAATAACCATGTAAATGTGAGCGAGATCAGACAAAGGTCCTGAGATGTTGGAGATAGGAGTTGCGCAATACAGGTGCTGCTTACAGTCCCAGATACTCGCCATGAAGAGGAGCTGGTAGATCAGCATGGAGCCGACAGCTGCTGGAGCTGCTGCTGTGACCCACCATGTAGTTTGCTGTGAGACAGCCTCACCGTGGATAGCATTAGGTGTCTCACCCATAGGGTACAAGCAACCAAAGCATGTCAGGGAAGATGGCACTGAAACCACAGCTTCGAAGGAAAACACACCTTGAAGTTGCCGTTAATGGGCATCTGGACCAGATGCACCCTGGCTCTGCTTCCATCTTGAAGAATTCGTTTGTCGAGCTTTGACAACAACAGTATTACCTCCACAGGTCATGAGGTGAGGTCTGTGTGAGACAGAGGGATGGGGAAGGCAAAATTCTGGAACAATTTGCTGAGCTGTGCCAGATGAAGGAAGCCAGGAGAAGCCCCTTAACAGTTGAAAGCAGTGCCTGCAGGGTGCCTATGGTTCTGTCCGTAAGGGTCCATGCTTTGGATGGGGAGCTGGCTGCTGGGAACAACGAAGCTGTGCTGGTGTTCAGCTACTGGTGATATGAGTCCAGCAATAAATCCATCAGCCCAGGGAAGGCTGCAGTTAATCATCTTGACCCATGGTGTCTGAAAATCTCCCACTCCTTCATGTTGTGCAGGGCGCCTGTTTGTCAATAGGGCAGGTCCCCTGCATAAGGACAGTGTTTTTCTTCACACCCAATGAACAAACACCTCCACCCACTGTTGTTGTTTTAAAAGACTCCAGCTGCTCATGAATATAGGGTCAGGGAGGGCCGCCTAAATGTTTCTGTGTGCTTTCTCCCCAGTGCAGCCAGCAGAGCTGTTTCCTGTTCTTTGTTTCAAGGCTGGGGTTTGCGTCACACATTCCAAGTGGCATATGTGGTGCTCTTTCCTGTTTCGAGCTGTTTTCTGGTGGATTGGTGGCCTCGTCCAGGCCCCTCACCGCTGCCCCTCAACTCCCTATCCCCACCCAGTGAGTTATCATGTCCCTACACACACAGTTGCTTAAGATGCCTGCATTATGTCATCATGAGATTTCCAAGTTAACCTTTAACATGCACCCGCGAATCCTAGTATGTTTATGGGGGTGACCTGAAGCGCCCGCTCCCTCTGCTGAGAGCCAGTTTTCTCCTCTGGCTTGTGATGCCAGCTGGGCTGGAATCGCTCCATTAAAGCCACGGAGTTAGGTTGGTGTGAGAAAAGAGCCCACATCTGCACAGTCATCTTTCAGAGGGAGCCTTGGCTGCCGCCCTCAGCCAACCTGGATGGCCCACTGCGAGCACTTTGCAGTTCAGTTCTTGAAAGAAATACACTCTCTTTATCCGTACTGGAAGATTTTCTGTCTCACAGATGTAATGCAGGAAATGAGAGTGCTGGCTTTTCTTTGGAATAAACAGGTATAGCTGTTCTACATTCGATGTTTCCATAGGTGCAAAAATGATTTTTCAGTTCTTGTTTTTATTAGTTGACTTCTCCCCATGCCGATATAGAAAAGCATCAAGAGGAAATGCAGAGAGAGAATGTAAATGTTTCTCTTGCCTTGGGTCTGACTGCTGAGGAGCTGAAGGATCCAAGCCAAAGCTTATTGAAATCAGGAGAAAGGCTTGCATCAAAATCAGTGGGCTTTGAATCAGGCCCTGGATGAAAATGTAGGGCGGGCTGTTTATTTCTCTGTCTCTTACACGCTGGAATATGCATGTTTCCAGTACACACTGTAATATTCCAACTCTCCTATTTCATTAAAAAAAAAATAATCATTTTTTAAAGTAGCCTTTTAGTATCTGACATTGCTCTTTTGGATGCTAAGAAGTAATTGTGATCATTGTGTGTTTTAAATCTTAAGAAGTATTTGAAATACATGCTGTAAACTTCCTCTCTTGGGGCTTAATTATAGGGGGAAAAAAATTACAAAATTATATGCACATCCTTATTTTAGTTTTTGTTTTTTTTTTTTTTGGTCCAGAACTCCAGATTACAAGAAGCATTTGTCCACACAGTTTTGGTAAGTTTTTTTATTGATTATTTTCATTTGTTACTGTCACTTATTTTTACTTAATTATTTTTACTTAATTTGCAGAGGATTTCAAACATTGACTCTTTTTTCCCTTGACAAAGGAAAAAGATTGCAGTTTGATATTGGAAACTAGCATATAGTGAAAACAGTAAATGTTGTGGTTCACACCTTTTTGTTGCTAGAAGTTTTACAAAATCCAGGAAAAATTAAAATTATAGTAGTTTTATAAACCAACTTCTTAATATTAATGAGTACTGCCAACAGGAGGTCTTCTAAAGTTCCTTTATACTGTCAGCAGTGGAGCTTTGTGTTTTCATTCCAAGGCTAGTTGCTTCCAATCCAGAATATGAAGTTTGGCAGGGCTGGCTTGAGGAGAGATTTAACCCTTCCCTATTAAGGATTCAGTTGATGCTGAGCCTTCCTTTGAGGGCCCTGTAACTATAGTGGATAGTTCCCAAGGGAAAAAAGTGCAAGTGTACATCAGCCAAATGGAAAGATAAAGCTCTGGTAGGCT